ATCTTATTTGGTCATTTTTTTAGGGGAAGGAAATTTGAAGATCATTGGCGATGAGATCATTGTGTAAATTCCAGCATAGAGATTGGATGTCTGTACCAGCTGGTACAAAATGACGTCATTGAGTTTTTAGCACATCTGTGCATTAATTCATGAGATGGACTTAGTTAGAACCAATCAGCGTGCTCTATTGTCAATAAGTTGCAACTTCATGAATATGCATGATAGGGCTTCGAAGACTTTTTTCGAAGAGTTTTTATCTGTTACAGTGTTCAGAGAGACGCGACACTGTGTTGCCAACCGTAATTAAAACAAGTGGAAGAAGAAGAATTGTTCAGAAACATGGGTCATCAGTGTTCCATTTTTTTACGTTTTTTATGTTTTGTTTCCATTTGCCCGCAATGAAAGCACAAGCAGTTGGATTACACACACAACACACATAAAACATTTATGTATTGCTGCATGAAAATAAAACTATACGTACATTTAATTTGTAGCCATGTAGCAAAATTTGTTACACTCCCTAAATTTAATTAATTTTCAAATCCTGCACAGTTACATCCTTGCTCATAATCTGCATCTTTACCAACCTCTGTTGACATTACCTGCCTATGGTCCTTCATCTGTATCCTGACAGAGATCCCAATCAATCACATTCACCTGGGGCCTCATGTACGAATACTTGCGTGGAAATCTTACTAAAACATTGCGTACGCACAAAGCTGTAAATGTGCGTACGCAGAAAAAAATTCAGATGTATGAAACACTGCGTACGCCGAATCTCACGCATATTCTTTTGTACATCTGAATGAACATGAAACTGAGCGCAACATGCACGAGCACAAAACCCCTCCCTGCCTCCTCCCCTGTATGAATATGCTAATGACTATGCTAATGGCAAAACCCAACGAAAAAGCAATGGCAAAAGCAAGCAAAAAGAGAAACTTTGAACAGAATGTGAATTGGAGGTGCTGCTTTCGGAGGTAGACCGGAGAAAAGCGGTGTTATTTGCAAGTTTGTTCTCCGGAATTAACAACAAAAGAAAAAAATAGAGTGGGAGAGTTTAGCTGATGCGGTCAACACAGTTGGGTCTGAACATCGCACTGAATGCATTAAAAAAAAAGAAATAGTGTGGTTTATATCTGTAAAATGTGGCAGGACGCTTACCAGACTCAGTGGCGCTACACGTAAGACGCTTGTGATCATGATTTGAAACATTCGAGCATGAACTCGGCTCGAATCCAGCGTCTGATGAACTCTTTCTTGTTTTTTCCCCCGCTACATATCAGATTTTGCCAACTATTTATCACGAGAAAGACAAGTAGGAATCATCAATAAGTTCATATCAATAAGCATCATATTTTATTTGCACATTTATTGAATGGAAATGTTTCTGATTCATGCATGCAAATTCATCTTCAGATAGTGTCTTTATAGCAATGTGCGCGCGGTAGATCGCTCAGATTACATTGGGAAAACAGGCGACTGCTGCAAATTGTGCTTTAATGTTTAGCTGGTCAAATGTATGGTATGGAAACCTCATACAGCTGCCATTGCAAGGCTCAGACACTTTGTAGAGAGGAATTTAACACAACTGCCTCTAGGAGTCGCCAATGGAAATAAAACAGACACGCACAAAAAATGTGCGTACGCCTGCCAGAAAGCTGCCGTGAAGCTGCGCACATTCCCACGTTCAGTTCATTGTTAGTAAATCCAAACGTGAGCGATTCTGGGCGTGAAACCTGGCGTACGCAAAGTTTTTGTGCGTACGCAGCGTTGATACATGAGGCCCCTGGTCATCATGACCACCTATACCAGGTATGTCCAAACTCGGTCCTAGAGAGCCGGTGTCCTGCAAAGTTTAGTTCCAGCCCCAATCAGACACACCTGGGCTAGCTAATCAAGCTCATACTAGGCTTTCTAGAAACATCCTTGCAGGTGTGTTGAGGCAAGTTGGAGCTAAAATCTGCAGGACACAGGCCCTCCAAGACTGAATGAGAATGAAGGCCAGAGAATGCAGTTCAACAAAAATCTTTAATGAAGTATAAAGGTCAAACAAGGCAGTCTGTCGTATAGTCAAAATACACAGAGCTGGATCTAAGGGAATAAAACACAAAAGGCCGCCCACAGCCGGGTGAGAGAAAGAAGGCTGGTTCCGTGCCCACCACTGCGATGTTGGAACATCTGACCTCCAGGTTCTGATGGTCAGAGCACAGTCAAAAGATGAGAGCACACCTCAGCAGGATACGGCAAACTTGTACATACAACGTTGATCACAGTAAGATCAATCAAGATGAGATGAGATGAGATGACACTGAGTGGATCAAAGCAGGTTAGTGGAACACTAAACACACTTAGCGTAACGCACGGAACAACATTTATCTGACAACAGAGGGAGAAAGAGGGAGAGAGATATAGGAGTGCCAATAAAGGCAAAGCGAGAACAGGTGACTGGTGATCAGCCCTCGCGCTGATTGCAAGAGCTTACAGCTGGTAGGAGAACACAGAAGAGAAAAGGTTAACAATCAACAAACCAAATTCGTGACAGACAGAGTTTGGAAAACCCCTGACCTATACAGTACCACCACCAATGACCCGTTGCAAGCCCTCCATGCATCCATCACATAAACTTTATTAGCCTCTGACAATCCTATTGTCATTCCTGTTCTATATTGTGGCATAGCAATTAAGTGAAATACATTTCAAAGTAGTGTGTTTCGTACTTTTAAATGCTTCCCCTTGCAAATTTTGTCCAAACTTAGCAAGTTGGCCTATATCTATATTGTCTAGTCAATCTATCAGTGATCTGTCAGCCCTGACCAGCTATTTCTTTTAAGAAAGGAAAACTGATCTCATCCAAGAAAAAAACACCTTGACGCTTCATTTAAAAAGCTGTTTGAATTTAACAATTACTCACTAACTGCACCAGAGACAATTTAAATCAGCCAACCACCTCATCTATAACAACCATCTTCACTAGAACCCATTTTGATTATACCACCTGTCCAAAACTGACCGTTTTTGATGGATCACATTTGGGTTATGCCTTTGAGCAATAGATCACCAATTACTGTCCTGCCCTTTTCAACCTACACACCCTAAAATGTGTTCATTTTAACTATTACAAGAACTTTCTTATTTTTCCCTTGCTCAAGCCTCCACAAGATTAGCTTAACCCAGCTGAAACGTCCTCATACCCTAATACTATAGTAAGTCAACAGGGCATGTGTAGGTGACCCACTATTCCCCATACATGTATCTCTGTTTTTTACATCAAGAGAAAGTAATATTTATAATGTTGGAAGGTTCCACCAGAGACATCATCCAGAAAAGCCCAGGGTAAACCAGGCCCTCATCTTCTGTTGAAGAAGTCATCTTCTGTCCATCCTGGTTCAAAATGCATTGGATGACTACAACCTTGAGGCTCTTCAAAAAACTATTTATCTAGCCTCCGTGTTACATGCAGCACTGAGATTGAAAAAGGACAGGGGCTGTGTTGATTCCTGGGTTTTCAACTCTTAGGCAGTCTAGTACATTTACTCTCTTCCCTTGGTACCCACAGCCTACTACTCCAAGAAATGCTGGCAGAGCGGAATTGTGACAAAACTGGTCCTAGCAGAATGGAGACACTGGCTGGAGCGTGCTAAACATCCTTTCAAGTCACCATAACATAGTAAACCCACAAGAAACTAAACTGCTCACTCATCTTGTGAGATACATTCATTCATTCATTCATTTTCTTGTCGGCTTAGCCCCTTTATTAATCCTGGGTCACCACAGCGGAATGAACCGCCAACTTATCCAGCAGGTTTTTACGCAGCCGATGCCCTTCCAGCCGTAACCCATCTCTGGGAAACATCCACTCACACTCATACACTACTGACAATTTAGCCTACCCAATTCACCTGTACCGCATGTCTTTGGACTGTGGGGGGAACCAGAGCACCCGGAGGAAACCCACGGGAATGCAGGAAGAACATGCAAACTCCACACAGAAATGCCAACTGAGCCGAGGCTCGACCCAGCAACCTTCTTGCTGTGAGGCGACATTACTACCTACTGCGCCACTGCTTCGCCCCCTGTGAGATACAGGGTATTCGATAATTTGTCTTATAATAATTTTTCTAAATAATGTTTCACCCCAAACTTTTGTTTCAGTATCAAATGAAGCACACATTTCAACCCACCCAATCTCACTCCCCACCCCCAAGATATTAAAAAGCGAATTAGATCATTTCAGATCTGTGATGCAAATCTGTGGTATACGGCATCAAGACCATAGTAATAGGCAGCTTTATTGGAGCATGGGAGATTCATGTTTCTCTAATCTGGCACAAGGTCTTTTCATTTTAAAAAGCTCCCCACGTTCAAAGTGAATGTGACAGCACAGTCAATATGGCGGTACAGTGATTATGGGAGTCTGTTGTGTTTAATGATGGATTTAGCTAGAATGAAGTAGATCCTGCAGCTGGACTAAAAAGCATCTGCAGCCCCCTTTCACATTTTTTTCTGATGTTTGCCACCCACTTTCTTGATTCATGTTTTTTCTCTAGTTCTTGATGCTATGGTTTTAAATAAATATGCATAGTGTACATGCAATAGGAAAGAGTTAAAAGAATAGCATGGGGCAGATGAATAAATACAGCATGGATATCCACGTATGAATATTCATGTGTGTCTCTTCCCCCATTTCTGCCTTTTTTTTCTCTCGGCAATTTGTGGCATCTCTTTTTTCTCTCTGTCTCTGCTTGCTCTCTACTAATCCCCCCACCCCCCCTCTATGCAGTGTGAGGGTACGTTTGTTAGTGAAGCGTGGCGACTCTGCAGTGGTGCGGTGCACCTGCAGTTGGATGAGCACTTGACACCAAAAGGCTTATTACACAGAGCTCACACATGCATTCACACATGCACACATACAGAGTCAAAAGAAAACACACACAAATGCTTTTCGGTTGCACACGACACATTGTTAGTCTACTCTTGTTCATACAGCTGCATTTAAGAGAGCATCTATGTGTCTGTGTGTGCGCATGTATCTCTGTGGGGCTGCATGATGACATGCAGTCTTTATCTGCTTTAGATTTAGAGACTGAAATCCATTATTTCTGCCATCCTCATACACTATCTTCTGTTCTCCTCTCTCTGTTCTGTATCTTATCATGCTTTCTATCCTATTTTCGTCTCCTTTAAGATTGTGCTGCCCTGTTTTTCCTGTTAATCACTGGAATGTTTTTCCCCTGCAAAGCTTAGTCTCGTCACACACACATTCAATTTCTTCTCAAACCTTTTCTCCCTTTCTTCCTCCTTCTCATCAAAAGCAACTTGCCTCTCTGCTATTTCTAGTTTTTCCCACTGCATGTTCCTCTCTCACTCTCTCCCTCCCTCTCTCTTTCTGCTTTTTTTCTCTCACACCCTCCCTCTTTCCTCCTCATCCTCCTTCGGCAGACAGAATGCTGCAGCATCCACTGAGTAAGGTAACGTGTGCGTGTGAGCAAGAGTACGGTATTTCTTGCTACCTGCTCTGCAGCTAAAGGGATTTGTCCTCCCTCGGCTCTCTGCTGTAAGATTTACCAGGAAAATACCCACAAAATTGAGGGAAGCAAAAGATTGACAGCAGGCAACAATGGCCCGGCTGAACTGGTGTCTGGCAGCAGTGATTAGCTGGGGGAAGTTCCTCTTCTCTTGTTTCTTTCCATTGAGAGCAGCGAGGAGGGATAAGGTAAGGCTGCATTTGTTTGACCTACTCTGCTCTGACTCTTCAATACATGCACACAGACTGCGGTCACCTTTCACAACTGATTGTGAGAGCTGCCAGGCAGCGCTCTGTTCTATCAGATGTGCTTTGCTTTTTTGTTTCTCAATTGCTGTTATCACATTTATTTACCTGTGGTAGATGTTCAGCCTCTCATACTTTATGAAGATTTGTCCTGTTTCAATGGGTGTCCTGAGTGTTGTGTTTATGAATTGGTACACATTGTGCACAGTCACTTTAATTTCACTTGTTTATAAAAAAAAAAAGTGTTACTAGTGGCAAGTGTTGAATCACACAGCCAATTTTACTGGTGCGACAGCAAAACTTGACAGTTTCAGTGCCCCCACTTCCCCCATTTTATATGTTATTTCCAGCCTTTCATAGATTAAAAGGACACAACCGCAAGCAGTCCTTTAGGTTTATGCTGAGTTAATGGTTGCCATTTTCAGAAAAGAAGCATTTATGTGGGTACATTGCGACCCATTTGCATCAAAATGTTTGGTTTTGCATTAGAGTATTATGGAATGTTTTCATTTTATTGGGTTCCAACCCAAGAACATGGTGGTGCCCGCTAACATGTTAGCATGAGATATTTACTATGAAGTTAATGAGAGTGGTCAGACTCGGGGTCAAGTTTTCATTATTTTGCTCATTTCATGCCTCTGTGATTTTCTCAGTGCTGCAGAAAAAACCCCTCTGCCGCAGAACTACTGTTTTTTCTTGTTCCACCCACCCCACCCCCAAATTTCAATCTGTCCCAGCACACGTTCCCATCTCTCAGCTCCTGCCAAGACCATAACCCAGTGTTACTCATCCAATTTCCCCATCAGCTATCACAGCAACACATCACTTTTTGCTCTTATCCCATTGAAGATCCCCTTTTTAGCTACTTTTTAGATTTCAGTCATCGAACCAATGGCAATATGCAAACCATTTTACCAGTCACAATCCCTTCCATTGCCAGCTAAACAATAAACTCAAATCACAATGACTAGCAATACTGGAAAAATATGCAAAGTTGTGAATTTATAAAAACACATTAACCATAAAAACAGTACCAAATAGTACCATATTTATGTACCTTAAAGACAAATAGTACACCCAATAAATATATTCAAGTATGTCACAGACGTCCAACATAATTTAACAAATTACATTAGAAATGCCAGAAGGTTTCAGACCACTGACTGCCTGTTCAACCCAAACTTTCCAACCAGCTTTACACTAAGATCACTGGATTACTCACTCTGCTTCTAGAGTACCTCCATCATTACACATTTTTTAATGTCTACCTAATGAAACACACTTGATGCAACTCATCAGCTTGGTTAGAAAATGATCCAAAACCATAAATAAGTTAATTAGACAAAAAAACATCTCAGATAAAAGTGTCAGTGTTACTGGTGGTGAAGGTGAAAGTTTATGGTGTTTGGCTGTCCTGGATCTGACAAACTTTCCATCATACTTCTTTATGCTAAAAGTGGTAAAATGTGAGACCATATTTAAATCATTAGTTCATTCATTCATTTTCATTTAGCTTAGTCCCTTGTTTATCGGGGTCGCCACAGTAGAATGAACCAACAACTATTCTGGCATATGTTTTACACAGAAGATACCCTTCCAGCCGCAACCCAGTACTGCGAAACACCCATATACTCTCACATTTATACACAAACTCATACACTACAGCCAAGTTAATTAGTTTTAGTTCATAAAATTCACCTAACCACTGGACCAATGTGCTGCCACACCATATTTAAATATTAATATTGATTACTTATTATTTAAATAATTTGGAAATGGACAGAATAAGGTCAAAATCAAGATTTTATGCATTGAAAGATATTTTTTATTTTATATTCTTATATTCATTGTTTGTGTAATAAAATATAAACTAAATGTAATAAATTAAATAAAACACAAGTTAGTACCAAATAACAAAAAAATAATAATGAACAAAAGCTTCCTAGTGAATGTAAGAAAGTACCCTAGGGTATTACCATTTGCTAATTTCAGCTGTGTACCTTTTTGTCCACAGAGGGCAGTTTTCAATGTCACACTTCCTTTGTTCTTTTTAAATCTCAACACTAACCTATTATGTCCAAATTATTTTTTTTTTAAGAAATGGAAAACAAAAATCAATAAAAACATACTTTTAACTACACTCTTAAGCTGTTAAACATGAATATATAAATGTTTATTATGATAGTATGCATGTGAGATGGTTTTTAAAAAGACAGTATAGTAGTTAAGAAATTGTATATCAGGGTATTTAAAAAAAATTTAGAAAAAGCTATAATAGGACCAACATAGCTTAAAATATTGTTCCAACTGCTTAAATTTTAATTCAAACACTTGGTACATTTAGTGTTGTTTTAGTGATTATATGTTGGTGAAGGGTTGAGATATCTGGTGAGCAAAACTTTAAGAGCCAAATGTTACTATTAAACAGAGTTCATTGGTAGAATGAATGAGTTCATAATAATGTGTCCTTCCAAGTAAAGTCATGACATAAAGAGACATTAACTGGTCATGTTTTCCTGTTGCTAACATTTAGCTTAAACTAAAGTGTTAATTAATAAAGTAATTAACAAACATGTACTAACAAGTAATTAAGGTAGCCATTATTCACACATGAACATGTTAGTTTTGGATTAGTGCATGCCATACCTCATCTTTAGTTCTTAAGAAACTAACATTTAATTTACATATTAGCATATTCGTTTACATATTAGTATAGCATATTCTATAAAGTTTTATATTGGCAGCTTGTTTTTTTTTTTACTATTTTGTGGCAGTGCTTCAAAAATGTGTAAAAAAAATTGCAAGGAGACTGTGGAAGGTGATCAGTGAGTGTGGATGTTTGTGTTTGTTTTTGTCAAATTCTTTACTTGAAATGCTGTTTTTGTTGAATGTGTGCGTTTAAAATAATTTAAATCCTATCCTGGATCACAACAATCCTATTGCAGACATTCACTCCAGTGTCCTAATTATGTACATTTAATTTACGTTGAGTCAGGCTGGATATGACTCCTGTCGGACTTGAACTTCACCCCTCATTGCCTTTCTACAACATCAGCTCTTCAGAGCGCATGCCAAAGAACCACAGGCAGACAGGATTTGGCCGGTAGTGTAGAAATTTACACCTTGTGGGTGGTTAAAGATCTGTGTTACTATACTATGTTCAAATATTTGAAAGCATCCATTAATCTGACACTTCCAAGCTCAACTACCATTTATGTCCCTTGAGCAATTCATTTAACCTCAGGTTGCTCAAGGAGGATTGTCCCTGTTCTTAGTGTACAGGATAATAAAAGCTCCCTTCCCCCAGCCCCTTCCTTCAACCTCCAGTAGAGATCTGTCAGCCCATTCATCCCACAACTTATTTAATTAAGTAAAAGCAAGTGATAGAGAACATTCTCTCTCAGATGCACTGATCATTCTCATTGGGGAGGAGGAACAGGAAGGGGTTTGGGGGGGCCATCCAAGCATTACGTACATCTCGACCACAACAAACCAAAATAAAGTCCTCCATGACAACTGCATTAAATATAAATGAAATAAATTGAGAGAATCTTTTTTTTTTTTTTCTTCAGGGAAATTTCTTTATGTCATTTGTACATGGGTAATGTGTCTTTAATTCATACTACGAAAATGCTAACAAAAAGCAACAACAATTATGTAATATATTAATGTGTATATTAAAATGATTCAATTAACATAATTTAAATAAAGAGCAGGGGTGCTCAATCCTGTTCCTGGAGATCTACCTTCCTGTAGATTTCAGTTGCTACCCATTTCAAACACACCTGCCTGTAATTATTAAGTGCTGTTCATGTCCTAATTAATTGGTTCAGGTGTGTTTGATCAGGGTGAGAGTTGTGTTTTGCAGGAAGGTAGATCTCCAGGAACAGGATTGAGCAGTCCTGTTTAAGAGGGTGACGCGGTCACACAGTAGGTAGTGCTGTCACCTCACAGCAAGAAGGTCTCTTGTTCTCCCCGTGTTCGCGTGGGTTTCCTCTGGGTGCTTTGGTTTCCCACATATGTCCAAAGACATGCGGTACAGGTGAATTTGGTAAGATAAAGTTGTCCATATAGTGTATGTGTGTAATTGAGAGTGTATGGGTGATTCCCAGTGATGGGTTGCAGCTAGATATGCATCCGCTGTGTAAAACGTGTTGGATAAGTTGGCGGTTCATTCCGATGTGGCGACCCCAGATTAATAAAGGGACTAAGCCGAAAAGAAAATGAATGAATGAATAAACAATTTAAAGACATCATGTATTTCTCATAGCACTTTATGACCCTTAAAAGTAAATTTTAAATGAACAAATCTTTAAATGCCTTGAAAGTGTAAATTCTTAATCTGTGATGATTAATAAAGGCATAAAGTGCAGATTTAATTTAAGTGATATACCATACCAGTATCCTGGAGGGTCAACATCCTGCAGATAGCTCCATTCAGTCCAATTCACTTGCCTAGGCTTTTAACCCTTTCTTGAAAAAAAATCATAGACAGTCATGGCATGGTTGTATATCTTCACATATTTCACCTCTATGTATAACTAGATCACCACGGGAGAGAGGAGGGACCTGCATAAGTAGGCAGATATTATAATTCCATCACTTTCTAGAGTGGCTTAGTGCTTGTGAAACAGCAAACCACAGATGACAGTAAGAAGCCTTAAAAAGAAATCCTCACTTGTTCTTTAACATCTCTGTGCAGTTCAGAGATCTGCTTGCTTCCCACTTCCTTGGTACATATTTGAATTTAGGGAATGAAAAACAACTTTGTGCCATTTGTCTTACATATGTACCAGACAAGTTTTTGGTCATGCATTTTGGCATTCTTAAAAAATTACCAGCTGCTCTGCTTCTGGGACACTACTGGCTACTAGATGAATGCCCCCAATAGAAATCCATGGGAAAGCAAAGCCATAAGGGAAAATGCAGCTAAGGAGACCTCA